GCCCTGGGACAGCCCCCGGACATCCCCGGGACAAACCTGGGGCAGCCCCGGGACAGCCTTGGGTCCGCCCCGGGACATCCCCAGGACATCCCCTGGACAAACCCAGGATAGCCCTGGGACAGCCCCGGTACAGCCCGGGGACAGCCCCGAGACAGCGCTGGGGCAGCCCCGGTAGAGCCACGGGAAGCCCCGGGACTGCCCCGGTACTGCCCACAGACCCGGGTCAGCCCCGTTGACCGGAAAATAAAGAGTCTGCATCATCGTGAGATTCCCCTAGTGAATATGTTGTGGCAGCACCATGGAGTTAAGGAAGCAACATGGGATCTTGAAACGACGATGCAGGAGCTGTATCCGCATCTGTTCACACTTTGAGGTAGGCTTTAATTTCAGGGACGGAATTGCCTAAGGGGGGTGGAGCTGTAACACCCTGAAGAATTAATTGAGATTAATTAAGGTAATTGAGATTATTAGTGTGCCTAATCTGATTTAATTAATTGAGTTTTGATTAATAAATGTTTCTGATACGTGTGAGTTTAAATAGTTCCAAGGTATTTAAATTATTCTCAGTAGTTTATTTTAACCCAGAAGTGTGTATGGGCGCATTTCTGGACTGCTCTTTTAACATATTGACACTTGTCCATTTTCTTTCCTTTTCTTTTTCTTTTTCTTTTCTTCCTTTCCTTTCACGTGCATCTCACTCTCTCTCACTCTCCCGTGCTCTCTCTCTCTCTCTCTCTCTCTCTCTCTTATTTGTGTCCCAAATCAAACGGATCTTGAACCAATGAAAGATTTAAAGAAGTTTTCAACGTCAAGAGAAGGATTCGAGGTAAGATTACTGAAAGAACCTCTCTTGAATCTCCTTTTAGTGAATTTCAAAACTTAGTTTTGGTTCAAACCGGATTTTGATGGTTTTTGAATAAAACTAGAGTAGAAATTGGAGATCTTGGGTTCTTTGGACTTCTTTTAGGACCTAGAACCCAGATCTAGTGGTTTCCCTTTGAAATATCTCGATTTGGGACTGGATTTGTAGGTTTTTGGACTGGTTTCCGCGAGCTTCTCTCGCGCAGCTGATTCCACTGGTCGACCTGTCCGGTTGACCGGATCACATGGAAACCGGTCGACCTACGGAGTCGACTAGATTGCAGGCTGACCGGTCGACCGGTCCGGTCGACCGGTGTGCACACTACCGGTCGACCAGTAGTGTTGCACTACTCTGTCACCGATCGACCGGTGCACACGGGTTTGACCCTGTTTGGCCTGAAAATGCTGTTTTGACCCCTGTTTTTGGGGAGAACCCAAATTAGCTTCATTTGGGGACTTGAGATAAATGGATTAGCATCTTTAATCCTTGATTTGAGATTGAAAACCCTTGGAATGATAATTTAAAACATGAAAATGGATTAGGGAACACTAATTAAAAATCTTGGTACATAATTGAGATTTGGACTGCTTTAGGAGTGAGAGTTAATCCTAAAGTGTTATCTTGTATCAGTGATCGCTGAGGATTCAGACTGAAGGGGTTTGAGGAAGCAGAAGCCGGAAAAGGCAACGCTAGTTCCAGGTTTGATAGTGCGAGGTAGGATTTCTATCCCTTTTCCTTGTGAGCCTGTTTTCAAAAAAGATTTTGGCCTTGGAAATGTTTTAAAGAAAGGGGTTGGTTTGCGTAAGAAAAACTCTTTGAAAACCATGGCTTGTTTAGTTCATGGAACCTCATGGCTTGTCCCAGGAAATCCACAGCTTGTCCAGTCATGGAACCTCATGGCTGTCCAGTCATGGGGCCCGCGGCTTGAGTAGTTCGTGGGGTCATATTAACGATTTCAGAATGTTAATGAATTATTTTTTAAGCAAAGAGATCTTGTGAACTGGTAAGGGAGTCTATTGCTGTAAGCCTAGATAGGATGCGGATAGTGCGTCCTCAGGGGCAAAACCCGAAACTCGGTCCGGGTAGGCGAGGCACTTGGTTAGGTAAGTAATTTGTACTAATTACTTGTTGAAGCCTGTAAAACGATTATTTTCAGTTATATTTCCTTTGAGAAAAAGGATGTGAGGTTCCGGCTGTCTGTTGGAACTGAATGTCTTATTTTATTTACTTATTCATTTATCTATTCCCTCGCTCACTTATTATTCATTTATTTATAACGTTTATTTCAAATTATATCCTACTGGGCCTTTCGCTCACGTTTTCTCTTTTAAATGTATTAAACCCCTCCCAGGAGATTCTAGGAGCGGTGCACAGTAGCTGAATATTTGCTATGGAGCAGCTGAGTTGTGCTGCTATTGGAATCAAGTGAGGATTGTGATCATCCTCTGGAATAAAATGTAAGGAATTGAGAATTCTGTAAACTCTTGAAATATTTGGATTAACTAGACTGTGGTTGATGTCTGTTGTAATGATTATTTACATGTTCATATATGTACGATACTGTATGTCCTGTGGGGTGGAGCCCTGTGTGTTGTCAGAGGCTCGAGATTCTTCGGTAATTTATTTATATTTTAATACAGTCGAGTGGGGCTCGTCTGGAGATCTGCTTTATTAACCCCTAATCGAGCTTCACGTCACCCACCCCGTTTGGGAGGCGTGACACATATTATGAGGATGTAATCTGTGTAAACGTTATTGTGATTGCCATACTTGTGTTGACGTATTTATTTCTGGACATAATGCTTTCAAAATTTCTGATCAACATTTTGAATGAACTGAGGATCAAAATGAAATCGAGAGGAGATTTTTGTGACATAACTCTGAAATAAATACCATTAATTCTGAGATAGTATAGAGATATATCTATCTATTTTTATGTGGTCATTTTTGAATCCTTTAATCTTAATGAATATTTTGTAATTTAATTCACATAGAGATATAATGAGTTTTTTTTTTCTTTTTATGTAGTATATTTTATGTATAACTTGAGAAAGAGTACATAAAATATAAGAGAATTTAACTATCAACATAGTAAAGATCTCAAAATCACAATAATTTTTTAAATAAATTAAATTCGATTAATATTGATAAAATCATGATTCCCATCATTTTCATAATCATTGTTTTTATCATTGTCTTGTCATTTTAAAAAATAATTTTATTTTTATTTTATTATTTTTAAATTTGGTTGTTTTTTTAAATTTTAATTTTGTAAAATTAATCAAAATTCATCTTTTCATTTACTCAAATAAAATTAAAATTATCTAATTTTAGTACTTAATGAATATATTATTTTCGTGGGAACAATACTTTTAAACTCACTTTTTATTGCTGGTTAACGATATCATGCACTTGCAATTGACACCACAACGTGTTACACCTTACCAAATGACAAGGGAAAAAAAAAAAGAAATTCTGGCTATCAGAACTATGATTTTGTGATTCTTGTTCTTTTGATTGTTGCCAATCAAATTTTTATTTGCAGGACGGAGGAATGAATCCGCGGCCGGGAATATTGGATCCCTGGCACCCACCCCCGGCTTTGTCACCTTCCGTGCTATCTAGGGCACCATCTACGCAGAATTCATGGTACTAAGCACACAAAACAAACTAATTCTAACAACCACATTAATCCTTAAAATCTTCCCTTTGAAGTCTAATTTATTTCAATATATATATATTTTTTTTTCCATTTGGATTTGTAGGTAGTGTCATAATCTGCTTTGCTGTAGTTCTTTATCTATCTCACTACTAATGGACGAGGTTCAACAATTGACAAGTATATTAGAACAAAAGAAAAAAGCAAGTGTCTCTCTATTTTTATTCAAATTAATATGGGAAACCAAGAAACAGGGGAAAAAACAGAGCCTCTCTGCTTTGATTTCACTCTAGAATATTGTGGATTAGAGTGAGAGAGGGCTGAAGGGATTTATTTAGATTTTTTTTGTGTCTAATGTTTTTGAATTAATATGTACAGTATGATAATAATATTATCATTTGAGGACATCTGATAGACACGAATCAGATTGTTTAGTGACATGAAATTCGTCAATTAAATATGGCGACTTGGATCCACTCCAACAGTTTTAAGTGTCTCTGCATTTCGAGGCCTGAAAAAGAAAATTAAAATCATATAATACTCATTTAGTTTTTTTTAAGTTATAAATAACTTGAATCACTTTTTTTTAACACACAAAAATTCAACATATTGATTATTTTATGGGATAATAATAATAATAATAAACATCTCATACGCTTTATCAAAATGTCGTGTTTCACGTAGTATTTTCAGAAATGCTTCATCTATTACTCTATTCAAACTATCTCATATATTAAATTGTGTTAAATCTCCACTTAAAAATCGTGTTAAGGGAAATTTTTACCATGATCTGTAAAATGTAGGTGATATGTACAACATGATATGAAAATGCTTAATTTAGAATTTTCGTATCTCAACATTCCGAGTACATACCGAGTAAAAGGGTTGGGTCGGACGGGGTCGCGTAGGGTAGGGTTGTGGTCCTGGATGTGAGCCACCTTCCTAAGAAAAGATTTGTTCACAAACTTGTCCGCAGAGCTAATTACACCATCAGGGTCATCCACCTCAGGCATGGTCTCTCTTTTCTTCTTGTTTATGTTGACAGCGGGAGAATGCAAGAGTTGCTGCTTCGCGGTGTGCGTAGCGATCGTCACAGCCACCACCACCATTCCCATCACCATATAAATCGGAGCAAACTCTCCCTTCATTGCTAGTGCCCTGCAATCCCAAAACAAGTCACAATAACAATTGGTGCATGTATGTAAATAGCTAGAGGAATTGGCCTTAAAAAGGAAACCTAATAGTAGCCACGTTTTTTTCGTTGTCTTTCTAGCACGTGATCTTATTAAATTCACGCACAATTTTAATATGATGTTCAAAAGCGCACACTACTAACATAATATTTACCAATTTCTATAAAATAAAAACATGCAGAAAACACAAAATTTTCTTTCTCGATCTTGAGAGTCGGGAGGAGAACCCTACAGGTGAATCCCACTATTTATATATTTACTTCTAATAAAAAAAGAGTTCAGAAAAAGAGTCATTAGCGCTATCATATCCTCTTATGGTGTTAATATAGAGGCTCACATACACTAATAAGAATGTTCGCTAAAACTCAATAAACAGGAACCTCATTATAGTTGGCAACCATCAAACTGCTCTAAAAAATAATGCACACACAAGTGTATATTTACACATATATGAATGACATCTGAGATATGCATCATGATTGTACCTCATAATAATTCAACTAAGGAGAGAGGACCTATATATGCTTACACCCAAAATCTGACACAAAGCAGAACAAGAGGTGATCTATATATGCTTGTTGTTTGGCCACCCAGAAAAGTCTTCCCGTTTACAGGCTATCACAAAAGCCTGAGTGATACGTGGTGATACAAAGGAAAATGCAACTTGGCTCCTTGTCTTTGTTTGAACGTGGCAATTTTGGGAGCCAAACATGTAAATGGGAAATGAAAAATAATAATATTGTTCCATTTAATGCGCATAAAAGAAAAAAAAAAAAAAAAAAAAACACAGAAAAAGCCTTTTTTTTTCGACCTGAAGTTAGATTGTGCAGAATGGGCAGCATCAAAAGTGGCCGTAAAAGTTTTCAGTTTGGGAGCAGTTGAGGTTACAAATGGTCGGTCTGATCCCAACCGAGCAAGCATTGATCTCCAGTAGTTCTGCATTACACCAAATATTCCCCACATTATTTAATATCAAATCAATAAAAGAAAAAGAAAAAAGAAATTCAAAGAGATCGATTAAGCGGTTACAATAGTGATATGTGTTGGCATTTGTTAGAGAACATATTTTCAGCAAATATTTCAGTTTTCAGGTACTTACAGTTGCCCTCAAAGCCATTTTCTCTGAGCAAGTTAAGATAATATTTGGATTAATGAGGTTTTGGTATTGTTTATATAGGGAAATACGATAGAGGGAGGAAATGCAGTTTTTGTAGTGGGTTATAGTAAGGAACCGAAAGAGATTGCAAGGTTCCCGGTTCATCACCTGGTAATATTAACAAATTGTGTGTGGACCCCACCATCAATTCCTCAGTAGTTGGTTGGATAGTTTGAATCCTAATATATGGGAGGGCCACTCCTTTCTATTTTTTATTTTTGAAGGTTTTATATTTATTTTTTAATGTCTATAAAATATTAAAGATAAGTTTTGGATTTGGTGGAGAAAAATGAGATAAATACCCCCTTAAAATATATGAGTCTGGATTTTTATTTTTTATTTTTAATTAATATTTTTTTAATCAAATAATTTTATAAGTAAAAAAGGATATTAACTAAGAGTAAGAGGTAAAAATTCATATTCTATACCGTACTTAAGAATAAGCTCAGTAATTAATGTTCTTTTTGAGATGAGATGAGGAGCCCGTTCAGTTCGCTAATTTGAGTTTTTAATTCGAGATGAGATGTGATGTTGTGTGAGAGCTTTTTATTGTAGTAAAAAAGTTAGATGTGACTGTTTCTGAGAGCTTTTTACTGTAGTAAAACTCGAATTCTAAACTCGAATCAGCGAATTGAACGGGGCCTGAGATTAGAAGCAATCGCAAGCCCATTCTGTAGAAACTTGAAATTTCATAAAAAGAATAACTTTATGTGCAAAACATTGTAATTTGAAGGCTTTTTCATGGCATTAAGGATAATGTGTTGCTTCTTACATAACCTTCTTGTAAAATTTCTTTTCAAGCCTATGGTCCAACCTTTGAGGTAAAAGTGTTTTTTGGGTGCTATCATCGTTCTTTTGGTTTCTCAATTTTTGTGGTACGCGACAAATAGTCGCGTGCTCATCACGTAGAAACTAGAAATTCAAAAAGAAACAATTTCGTTCTACTTAAAATGTTATAATTTCAAGCACTTTCATGGGCATCGAAGATAATGGAATAACATATTGCTCCTCAGATGACCGTTTTGTAAAATTTCATGTATATCACGCGATCGATATGTTATTACATTTATTCAATTTTAAAAGTAATCGTTATTGTTATGGTAAGAGATCAGAACTGCCAAAGAAATAAATACATGAATAAACTAATTATCCATAGAAAATATAGGGGACCAAAATTGTCACCATATTAATAGTTTGAAAACTTAACGCTAAGAATCCTTTAAAAATTTGGAGCAGAAGTTTTGTGTAAATAATCTTAAAGTGAGGTACTCTTAACTATACTACCACCGGGAAGAGGATGAGAAATCCTCTAGAAAATAAATATAAGGAGATTCTTTTATATATATATATATATATATATATATATATATATAAAATAGATCAATATTGATCAGTCTAATACATTTGTCAACAAATTTTTTTTAAATTCAAATTTTTATAGGAGACGCTACTAAAATTTTGAACATGGAAATTCTCTCTCCCTCTGTTAGGGTTCTATCTTTTTCTTCTAGTTACTTTCTTGTGCCGCTTAAAAAGTGGACATCTAAGGGCTGAAATCTGATGGTCCTTCGGACTCTTGGCCCATAGGAAGGTGCTCTGATGCTACGGGTGGTACTTTTCCAGTGAAGCTCTGAATACGCTAAGCTATGGGAGGGAAATATAGGCTTTGGTAAGGTTTTTTCCGGTGGGCTTTTGGCTACTAGCACTGGGTGTTCCGGTGTGGTGGAGTGATTGTGATTAGGTCTCCTCAATGTCCAGCTCTCTCAAGATAGTTTGTTTTGTGTTTCAATGGTCAATGACAGTGGAGGGAGTGGTGTGGTCGCAGCTTGGGGGCGGATGGAAGCGTCAGTTCTTGGTCGGTGCTTCGGTTCTCCCCTGAGTGGTGGGGGCATCGGCTCCATTTGTGTGGCTTGTTCCTTTACTGGCGGCGTTTGGTAGCGGTGATTGCTTGACTCCTTTTCAGCTCGCTCGGTACGCTGCAGTCCCCCTGCCCACTCTTGGTGGTGGTCGGCGGCTTCGTGGAGAGTCCATCGGTGTTATTTGGGACCTTTGTGTTTTAATTTATGTGTTTATGAAATAAAAGTCGCGGTGTCTTTGTTGTTAGTAGGATAATTAGGTTGCTTTGTTGGGTTTTTATTGTAATAATGGAGGTGGTCTCCCCACCATTCGGTGTTATCATTTTGTTTTGTCCGCATGTCATGCATGTCATGTGTCTATGCGGTGTTGTGTTATGTCTTACTGCTTTTGGTCTCTCGATCTTGACCGATCGGAGTTATCTGCTGGCTTCTGCGGTGTTTGTGGTGTGTTTGAAAGAGCCAATTTTGTGCTCAATTAAATGTGTGCCTCTTGGGTTTTCTTTCGTTGGAACTCAATACATGTGTTAGCCCCTTGATCGTTTCAGTCAAACCTCTGTGGTCGGGGGTTGAATTGCTAGTTGCACTCAGGTATTTCGCGTCTAAATTTGTGATTGTAATTTTCTGATTTGGAATGTAATTTTCATTTTCAAAAAAAAAAAAAAAAAAAAAAAAACTCTGTTTTGTATACAGGCTTAGAAGGATGACCCTAGGGGGAAAAAAAAGGAGGCTTCTCAGGGACAAACCCTGCCCATTTCATTGCCCCTCTATTTTTTTTTTAAACTTTTTACTTAGGTTTTTTTTTTTTTTTTTTCCTTTTTTTAAAGCTTTTCTTTTTCTTTTCTTCTTTGTACTACTTTATCTTTTTTTTTTATTACATGTTTTAGCTTTTGATTTTATATATTTTCAAATACATCTCATTTAAATACTTTTTTAAAGGTTATTTAAAATATTAGTTTTTAGTTATCCTGTATAATTAATTTATTCTCAAATGTTTCTTTTCACAAACATTTTTTACATGTGATTTTCATAAATTTTAACTTCAACAGCAAAACATTTCAGACAAAGTTTTTCTTTTAATTTTTTTTTATCTTTTGCTTCATATATTTTTTCACACCTTTATTTCTTTTATTTTTTAATTTTTCTTCCTTTTTTTCCCAACGATTTGTATAACTGGGAATATTAGATAAAGAGGAAAATTCCCAATGCTCTGTTTGGTATTAAAGGAAAGTGAAAGGAAAGAACAAGCTGGAAAGATTTTAGAATGGAAATCGGTAAGTTGAGATATTTGGTAAGAAGGAAATTTAGAAAAATTGAGTGGAAAAATTAGTTGGTGTGTCCCACTATATTTTGTCCATATAAAAGTGGGTGCATTATGGGAGGAAAATTTTTGGCACCAATAGTAAGTGCTTGCTAAATATTCGAGTAAAAGGAGAACTTTGACAATAATAACTTTTCCATCCCATTGGTTTTATTTTTTTAATAAAAAATAAAAAAGGTAAATTCATTTTTTCGCCCCTATCATACCAAACACCAAACAACTTAAGAAAACCAAAATCTTTTCTATTATGAGAGGATCTCATAAGGCCCGTACATAGATATCAACAGTCATTTCCTTAACTTCAAAAATTATGTTGTTCCTTTCCATCCAAATAACCCAAAGCAGAGGCAACACCATTGCTTTCCACATGACCTTAGCTTTCTTGGTACCACCAAAAACAATAAATTTCTCCTCCAGCACCTCATTTCTTTTTTATTTCCCTATATTCATAGTAAAAGCGAATTATGTATCCATACATATCTAAAAGTATGGTAAGAGAATACATAGAAAGACACTAACCCGTTCATTTCACCGATTCGAGTTTAAAATTCAAGTTTTGCTACAGTAAAAAACTCCTAGAAACAATCACTTCTAACTTTTTTACTACAGTAAAAAACTCTCATATAAAATCACATCTGAACTCAAATTAAAAACTCAAATTAACGAACTAAACAAACCTTAAATACATGACATTTTTTTGATACCTTGTTTATGCTAGTTAAACAGCCCAAAAAGTTATCAGTTTTAAGGTAGGTTTATCCAAAACCTGTGGACATGAAATAATACTAAATGGTGAAACATGACAGGTCATCTCAGCAAAACACATTATTTTAACAGAACGAGGGGCAAAAAAAAAAAAAGCTAAGTTATAATTTAAACCCATTCAAATTTGGTATATTAAATTAGGAATCCGCAAGTCGCTTTTACAGTTACCAACCACCATTCTTTCACAGAGTTCCTCCTTTCTTCTGCTTTGCTTTCTCAATAAGGGGCTTCAACTGCTTCTTCTCAGCAAGAATCTTGAGAAAGTTAAACAAAAAGGGAATGTAATTGTGTTTCCGGCGAATGTTTTCGGTTCTCCATTTCTTGAATTTTTCCTCCTCGATCAAAATCTTCTCGGTGGCAGCCTCAATCCCTGAATTCACTTCCGAAAGAGATTTGTTTAGTGCTTCAAATTTGCTAATGTCGACCGGTCTCTCTGATTGTAAGGTGTTTATCTGCTGCAGAATACGCTCCCTCCTCTTTTGGAGCTCCTTGAGCTCAGCTGTGTACATCTCTTTCCTGTTCTTGATGATTGCCATAAGATTGAACCTTATTTCGCTTTTGGCATACCTTTCTATCCGTTCCTGGATTACTGGTTGCACCAACTGCAGCCAATCCATGTCGCCTTGCCCGCCAGTGCACTGTCCGAGGCTAATGGGTCCCTCCTTTAACCCATCAAGCTCATAAAGTACACCGTCAACAGAAATATAGCTTATGAAGTGGTACACGTCGTCGTCTTTGCCAGCAGCCTTCTGCTCCTCAGGAACAAAAGGCTCAGGCCTCGCAAAGCTATTGTGGGCAGTTCGTATTGATTCGCTGTTATTTATTGCTAACCCTTTGAGCTCGGGCGGAAAATTCTTTGAGAACTCTTTCAGTTTCGATAGTTCGGGGCCAATATCAACATCCGGAGAGTTCATAAGGATGGACAAGATCGCTTGAGTGGCACAAGCATTATTGATAACCTAAAAGAGGATAAGACACACATAAGAGAAAATAAAAGCTTATGCACATGGAGTTTCAACACGATAACAACAAACTTTCACAAACTAACCTGACTTGCAAAATACAAGTTAGGATTTGGATCCTTCATCACAAGGCGGTCATCCTTTTCCCCCGGCCGCCATTTGAATAGGAAAATCAAACCATAAACGGGCCTGTAAATGAGAAAGAAGAACTAGTAGTTGTAGTATTAGCTCTATTAGGATAAAACTTTGAACTATTTGTCACCATGGCATAGCTATGTTACTAAAACATATAACTAGCATCAACTCACCTTAGATTATTTAGGGAATCAAGGTCTAGGGAATACAACTCCTCGACCTGATAAAACATATTAAGTCATCATAACGGTATATTCAAAAATGCTAACCCTAACTAAATGAAAGAACCGCTATAAACATATTCATAAAGATTCGATGCATTGCCAAGATCACAAAATGTTTCAAGTGAGGAGATACCAACTGCAAGCTAAGACCATCACATTGTAAGCAATAAAATTAGATGAGGACTTACCTGCACACCTTTTACTTGCATCTGCTGTATAAGTTCTGTAAACACCCCTGAAATACAAGATAAAACCATTACACGAAAGGCGAAAAGGGTGGTAATTTATACTCATAAGTGACATTTCAATTGATAGTCCATAATATTATTGGACGAACATTAAAAGGGATAGGACAAAGGGGACACAAGAATGAGATCTGACACAGGCTCACGGGCATTGCATATAATTGCTACAGACTACAAGTAAAATACACAGGAAAAGCAAAATACACAGACACAAGTAGTTATCCTGAAACCAAGAGTGGCATGTGGCATGTATTAACCGTATTTTATATTTCTCTCTGTATATTCTCAATTTGGATGGTATTCAACGACAATGATAGTATCACTTACTCTCTTTTTTTTGTTTTTTTTTTTTGTTTTTTTGTTTTGTTTTGTTTTGCAATATATGAATATATATTAGTTGTTCCCCCTATTTTTTGAGTCGCTTTAACCACATACAAGATAAGACCTTGTAAAATGTAAAATCTGTGAGGCAAGCAGTTACTCTTGCTAGACCGAGTTTGTATGTTGAATACGTAACATATCCAAAATAGACACTAGTAGGCTGAATTTTAGATAAATCCCAATCCTAAAAGAAACTTTTGCTTAGATTCTAAATGGGAATCATTGGTGTTTGAATACAAGAGTATTACTATCAAGCACATGTAAGCAATTCCGATCCTAAAACTACCTGCCTCTGGTTTTAAACTTTTTTTTTTCTCCTGAAAAGATATAAATATATCATCAAGAAACCAAAGAGAAACAGGGCGGGGAAGAATGCCAAGTACACAACATACCACAGAAGAACCAAAAAAACATAGAGGTAGCCCAGAAAACCAAATAAAGGTAAAAAAATTTACAAGTAAAACAAGTAGTCTGCAGAGAGAATCCACATTCTATTTGCAAAAAATCAGCCATTAAATCAAAATAGTCTAATAATGGGACACTGACTAATGAAGACAGCTTTAAAAAAGCCGATAAATTGAAAAAAAAAAAAAGTGGAATAATCTAAATATCCGAAATATATCTCATCTTCTTCCTATCTATACCTTGCCCATTGACAAGGATTTTCTGGATGATCTTGTAATACCTCAAATAAACATCTCCATCAAAGAAACTCAACAAAACCCCTCAAATAATCACCAAAACAATTAAAAATATAATTTTGGTTTTTTAAAAAAGCCCTCAACTTCAACTATGGTGTGTGTATATATATATATCACAACTTGTTCTCATAACATTACAGAAGGACACCCCAGAAAATCTAAAACGTAATGGAAATAAAATAATGATGAAATCATACCTGGGTCGGACTCAATCGTGCACCAAGACATACTGCCAAATCTTCTATCAGCAACTGACCAAAAAAAAAAAAAATCAATTGAATTGAATTTCCTAAAACTGAAAAGAAAGCTTAAAGCTTCAACTGCATTAAAGCTTAATCTGCTTACATTCTATAATCAATGAGAATTGCCAACAAAGACAAAATATCAATAAAACCCTCAATTACCCAAAATAAATAAATAATAAAATTATGGGTTTTTAAAGGATTAACTCATGGTTACGGTCTTATTAATTTGACTCGTGGGCAGTGTTAAAAGGCTGAGCTAAAGAAGAAGAAAAAGAAGTGGAAATTAAAAGAGAGAAGTGACCAGAAAATCGAGATGAGCAGATGAGCTTAGGAGGGTTTCTCTTTCTTTCTTTCTTCGGCTTCTCCTTCTCGGTCTTGCTTTCTGCCCGTGTCTTGTTTGTCGCTTGGTATCCCGCTAATCCTTCTTGAACTCTTCGAGAATGGCGTTACTCCCTTTTTTTTTTTTTTTTTTTTGACAAATTTTATAAGTTCTCTTTAAATTTTATCACTTGTGATAACATTCAATTAAATTTTAAAATATACATGTTCCTTTCAAACTTTATCAATTATATCATGTTCTTTGAGTTTAATTCTGTCAAATTTTTTAATAAAAATACTTATAAACGTTATCTAAATTTTATTATTTGTGTTAATATACATTTTAAATTTTAAAATGTGCATGTTGTGTTTCTGAATTACGATATATTTCTAACTTTTCTCCCATTGTCTTGATTTAGTTTTTTAAACGGAAATATTGATATGACTATTTGAGCTTTATAAATGTATTATGGTCTAAAAATATTAGCTAGACACTAAGGGCATGTTCTTTTGTCTAAAAAACTCAAAAAAAGACAACTTAAGTTTCAACTTTATTCAAGTTCACGTTCTTTTAAGTTTCAACTTTATTCAATTTTACTCAACTTTATTCAAGTTCTAACTTCAATTCAAGTTATAACTCAAATTCAACTCAAAAATTACACTCAAATTACACTCCAAAAGAACAACCCCTAACTCTCAAAACGTTACTTGATTAGAAGCAATAAGAAAAAAAAAATGAGGGGCAAATCTATATAATGTAATAAGTTTGTTAATTTTTTAGTTTTTTTTTCTTTTTTCATTGGAATAGGTTTATTAGTAGGTTCTTTAATGTAAATGATAGATTTTTTTTTGGAATTTTATATTTAGTGTTTTCTTTGTGAAGATTTTTTTTTTAAAAGATTAGTTAAGTTAATGGGTTTTTTAAGGTTTGTGTTGAATTTTAAAAAAAAAATAAAATAAATAAAATAAATAACCTGAACATATTTAGATTTAGATTTCTATATTTCATGGTAACCACTAATAAAAACGTAACCATTGCAAACTCGTCTAAACGTATTTTATGTCGAGCACTTCTATGTAGGTTAAATCTTAAAAAATAACTAACAAAATCCATTACATTATAGAGATTTACTCCTCATTTTTTCATCTTTATTATCTCTACCCAACTAATCTTTTGAGAACTGGTGTCTAACTAACATTTTAGAGGGGAACGCATTCAATAAACCCCAAATATCATACATAATTATCAATTTAATGGTCATATCAACATTTTCATTTAAAAAATTGATAGAATCATGACAGATGGAGAAAAGTTGGAGAAATATCATAGTTCATGGCACAACATGTACATGTTAAAGTTTATGGAGTATATATGATACAAGTGACAAAGTTCATGGGGCGTTTATAAGTTTTTTTGTTAAAAAATTTAACAGAGTTTAACTCATAAGGCATATTGATATAAGTGATAAAGTTTAGATGACATATTAACACAAGTGACAAAATTTATGGAGAATTTATAAAATTTATCATTTTATTATTATTATTATTATTATTATTTGTAATAATATACTCACTTTGCACGTGTAGGTAGAGCTGTCTAATTCAAGTCGCCCGACCCGGTCTAGGACTTAGGGGCATGAAAGTGGACATCAGGCCGGGTGGGAGTGGGACACAGTCCTTTTGCATATGGCCGACCCACATCTTTTTAAGAAAAAATAAAAATAAACAAATAATTGATGAATGTATTTTCTATTTATATTTGTACTTTTATAATTAGCTTAATATTATGATTAGGATTATATGATTCGATTTGGATATATAATATTGACATTCAATAATTTGGTGGGATGGTAAAATTGTTTGTTGGAGTCAACAATCTATTTTGTGAAAAATCGTATTTCATGCAGAAGAATGTACCATCTCTTCAAAATTATCTGAAAACAGGTTTCGTCCAATATTCATATAAATATATTTAATTTTTAACTTTTTAAACCTAATTAATTCTTTTGTGGTTTTACTATTAAAATGTGAATTGTGTATGTTTAGAATTTGGTTTGTTTTGTACGATTTTTGATTTTGATTTAAATTTATAGTGAATTTCTACTTTAATTTTGTTTTGAATTGCTATAATTTTGAATGTATTTTTATATTAGATGGGGAATAAGACTAATATAGAAAAGTATAGAAAAAAGTATGGAAAATGCTCTCTTAAGGAGAATTCCAACCCATACCCATCTCTTTCTAATCAGGGATGGGGATGATTTTGGGGGCGGGATGGGAGCCCGTGGCCATCTTTTTGGGGTTTTAAATATGAAAAATGAGATGTTTATTTTAAGAGTTGGTTTATAATTTTAAATTTTTTATAGTGTTTTTTTTTTTATAAAAAATTTTAAAAATTAGAATTATAAATTATAATTCTAAATTTATGAACTAAATCTCTTAAAAATATTTTTATTTTTTGAAATGACATGCTGACGAAATGTCAAGTGTGACTTTTTTTCCTTTACTAAAGAACGTGTAGTTTATTTATTCAAGAGATGGCTTGGATTCAGGAGAGGGAAAAAAAAAAAAAAAACAAACAAACAAAAGATGTACGTGATTTCTGTTTTTAAAATTCGGTATCTCTCGATTAAACGTAAAAGGGAAGAAATATGTATATATATACCCTAAATTTTCATTGCCACCTCTAAATATTTAAAATTTAAAATTATTTTCTTTTTAATATCAAAATCTCACATAATTCGAAACATACCATTGTATTATACACGCCATACCTTTTTCATATCCCACATTTTGAGAAATTGTTTTGTTAAAAAGATCTTACTCCTTTCCTTTTTTATTAACTTATCATTTGAATATCTTATTTTTTAAGGAATAAATGCATTAACCTCAAGTAAGTTCAAGTTCAAACGAGACACAGAGCAAAAGGAGAAAAAAAAAAAAAAGTTCAAATGACACTAAGCGAGCAAAGAACAAAAAGTTTCAAATTTACACATGAAATCCATTTCAAGAGCCTTTTGCATATGGAGTTCTAGAATCTAGGAAACTTTGCATATTCCGAATACAAATTTGCTATTGTCCAAGGAAAGAAGATGAGACTTGGAAGCTTTGTCATATTTAGGATATCAAAATTCCATTTAAATAGTATGCAAAACTAGATTACAAAAATTATGAAATGTGATTTCCGTTAGTTTCCTTAAACTGGAGTGCAATACAGTTAAGGAGCTTAATATCCTGCTCTTTCCTAAATAAATGAATCGTATATGTCCCTCAAAAAAAAAAAAGTTCCAAGTGATTTTCTCTCTTCTTTTTCCTCTTTGATTTTCATTTGAGCTTGAAATCACTTGATTTTGTGCATTTATTCCAAAAAAAGAGGTGATAAAACTCACCAACTAAATTCTGGAATCAAAACTCTGGAATAGAGGTGAAAGTTCGGATCGTCCGACCTGGACCGGTGGTCGGAATGGAAATTTCAAGCCGCCTGAAGGGTTTAGGGTAAGCTCAGAATTTTATAAAGTATTTTAACAAAAAAAAAAACTTTAAAAAGAAAATGTTTGGGCCGGGCTAATCTGGCCTGAATAAGTTTTTGCGCTCGAAATTTTAACCCGGGCCAATAATGGTTGGCCTTGGGCCGGCCCATTTATCATTTTTGAAACTTATGGCTATACTCTGAAATCAACACACAAATAGAATTCCGCAAGAAAACCTTGAAGAAATTTTATTACTTTTCTTTGTGCAACGAACAAAAAAATGCAAGAACTTCCCCAGAGAAAATTTCCCCCAAAACTCTCTCTATAGATTTTACTCTCTTTTTCTGAGCCTCTAGTTCTCTTTCTCACCCTGAAACAAAATTATAACCCGTTCATTTTGTTAGTTCAAATCAAATCACAACTCAAGTTTTTGCTACAGTATTTTTCTCATGAAAATTTAAATTCAACTTTTATTGCTACATTATTTTCCCACACATTAATTTACTTTTTAATTCAAAGTTCTCAATTTAAACGAGTGAAACGATCATTTATATTATATATGTCATCCACTCAGATTGTGCCACCCGTCTATCTTGACTTACTATAGTTCCTAATTAACTAATTCACAATCTTGGTAATTTCTGTTTTAAATCAGAATATTGAACCAACTCTTTTTACAAAAGGTCATATACATGGAAACTTAGCAAAAAAGAAAAAAAAAAGTGATATCTTTGATATCAAAATGAGAATAATTTAAAATTTTAAATATTTAGAGGCACCTTAATAAAAACATGGGTGTTAATCTAATTTCTCACATATATATACATATATATATATACATATAAAGTTTTTAATGATTATATTTTTATTAGTGGTTAGCCATCAAAGAACTAAATTCCAAGTGAGCAACATATAAATCATATGATGAAACGGAAATAAAAAAAAGGGATCCGAAAAAAAAAATCAAAAGACGGGAAATAATATGCAATGTTACATAACATATAAGAGCAAAATTAATGAGAAAGAAAGGAAAAAGGTATATGATAATCAATATTGACCAGCCCGAAGAAAAAAAAAAACCAATATTGATCAACTAGCTAATATACAAATCGAAAACTGAGTTTGCCCCGGGCTGTCTCGGGGGTGCCTAGGGGCTTCCCGGGGCTGTCCTGCGGGTGCCCCGGGGAAGTTCCGGGGCTGTCCCGGGGCTGTCCCGGGGGTGCCCAGGGCTTCCCGGGGTTGCCCCGGAGATGTCCCGGGGCTGCCCAGGCCTGTCCCCGGTCTGTCCCAGGGCTTCCCCGAGGGTACCCAGAGTTTTCCTGGGGCTAACCCGGCGGTACCCAGGGGCTTCCCGGGGATGTCCCGGGGGTGCCCCGGGGCGGCCCCGGGGGTGCCCAGGGGCTTTCCGGGGGTGCCCCGGGGCTGTCCCGGGGCTGCCCCTGGGTTGTCCTGAGAGTACCCCGGGGGTGCCCCAGGGCTGTCCCGGGCGTGCCCCGGGGGTGTGCCGGGGCTGTCTCGCGGGTGCACCGGGGCTATCCCGGGGATGCGCCGGGGTTGTCCCGGGGCTACCCCTGGGCTGTCCCGGGCGTG